TCACTGATAGCCAGACACTGCAGACAAACCCCTCTACAACAGACAAAGGCTAATAAGTAAAACCGTCAGCCTTGCCTTGCTAAGGGCAACCGTTGCTTCATGAGGTTTTTATTACTTACTTTACCCGGAGCGCTAATGTGGCTAACCGCCCCCGTAAATCAGCCTGAGGGGAGGAGCAGGGTGCATCGTGTGCTGCTGTAACATTGTCTACTGATTGCTAGTCACATCATGACGATCCACCTTTCGTTTCACACATAAATAGGACCCGTATCGCCGCCAAAGTGTAGTATCTTACATTTTATAGACATGAGTTCCAGCAGTGGTGAAAAAGGTATTATTCTTCATACTATAAATGGGTATCACGTATCTTCTAATGGTCACTACACACCAATGGTGAAAGGCTCATTCTGTAATTGTAACAGACACACTTCTTTTTTTTTTTAAACTCCAGCCAAACGCAATGACTTGTTTCAGATTCATATTACATATATTAATATGTGGAACTGTATTTACTGCGAGGTAACTTAACCTATAATAATACAACATTTATATTTGATAGCTACTAGTATTACTTAACTTATCGTTATGAAGTAAATGTTGATTCCGCAATGTAACGGCTCTAGAAAAATGACACCGTTTGCATTTCAATTAGCTCAGAAAAAACTTACTGGAAAAAAGATCTTTAATTCAGAGGAGGATTTTTTTATGGCTGAATAAAATTCCCATAACAAATACACTCAAGTTCTGTGAGTTTATTTACTGCTCCTACATTCAACACAGAGGCATAAATACAATGCGCTGATGATGGTAGCAGGACGGGTCTGCACAACTTCACAGGAGCTTCTGGATAAAAGAAACACTGTGCAAAGAAAAGAGCTTCAAAACGGAACATCTTATAGCAGCAGAGTTGGATACGCGGGAAAACAACTCCAGCAATTCCACTCATCACAGCCATTAAGTATTCATCCCTTATTTCCATCCCTTTTAAATCACAAGGGCCGGTGAAATGTGTGGAGACAGCAGCTCGCCCAGCTCAATTATTCAAAACACGGCTACTGCATTGTGGCTAACCAAGGGCTCGAACATGATTATGCACATATATTTCCTTTGTACCTTCAATCATGATCAGCATCATTTTCTTTTCTTTTTTGTCTTTTGCACATATACATATGCAACCCCTAACTGTGGATGTTACATGGTCAGGGGGCAGGCTGCAAAGAATCCTTGTCCCATTCAAATGCATTACATCTGTCCAATATGTTCAATATGTGCACATTGTATACATGTTCAAAGTAAACTCTCTAGTCTTAAACATTTACCATCCGATAGATTTACTCTAACAATAATAATCATTTTGGGTGGGCAGAAAAAATATTTGTTAATTATGTATAGTCTTGGTCTTTTATCACTAAGTAGTTATCTGGGTTGCCGGTAGAATATATTGGAAATGCACTCATTAAATTCAATAGTTAATAGAGCTGTATTCAAAGCAAGTATACAAATAAAACGGGATAGAAAATATTAGAAGTATAAGACAACCAAAGAGACTAGAAACTAAAAAGAGAAAGTATGTTAAGATCCCTGCGATCTAAGAGACATTTTTTATTGTGATCGCTGTGTGTGTTGTGTTATGCCGCGTGTTTCCCCGTTTGTTTATTTCGTCATGTGTTTCTGTCATTGTCCGGAGACTCCGCCTTCTGCGCTTCCCGGCCTTTTTGTCACTCACCTGTCCCCTACCATCTCCCAGATTGTTTACTTGATTTGTTTCTCCTGGGTCTTGTTAGTTTCCCCTTCTATATATAGGTGTGTCTTTTTGTAGTCCCCTGTTGGATTGTAATTCAGTGTGTGAGAATCTATGCCTGAACCCAGCATTTTTTGAGTACTTGACATCGTAAAGACTTTTCTGATTTTTCATCCCCTATGTATTTGTCTTCGGAGTTCTGTTGACCTGTAAGCACATGGTACTTTCTGATTTTTGCTCCTATGTTTTTTTCCTTTTGGAAGTGTGTTTTTGCCCTCTTTTGGATTTTTGCGAGTTCTGTTTTCAAGAAAATTAATTCACAAGTGCAACCTGGGGGGTATTCCAGAAAGGAGGATCAACAAACTCTGAGTCTATCCCTGAACTGCGAGTTGACTTACTCTGAGATGGGAAACTCTGAGTATCCGGTTCCAGAACAGCTGATCTGCGTTAGTTCAATCAACTCTGAGTATGTTCACCTTGAGTTAAGCGCGTGCATGACGATTATAAAAAGCCATCATAAATGGAGCCCCGATAGCACGAGTCACCATGACAACAGAAAATAAAAGAGAAACCCTTAGACACATTTTTATTTTATACCTAACGAAGTCATTTAAAATGTGACGCTGTAGCCTACACCAACACATTACAAAACAAGTAATAATTAAAAAACAAAGGAACATTGAGTTCTGCTCAGCCAACAGAAAGAAGGCAGGGGCCCGAAAAACAGGTGGAGGGCCACCTCCACCACCTCTGACAGAGCCTGAGGAGCTGGCCCTCAGACTAAACAGTGGTCTCACCTAACAGTTGTCGATGGTGTCATCTGCACAGCTGTAAACCCTGCAGATACTCAGAATACTCTTGCCTCAGATGGTAGTTAAAAGTATTGAGAAACAGTATATTTTCCTGTATCACAGGAGGATGATGATGAGGAGGCGGAAACGCTGTCTGCTGCCACAGGGAGAGATCCGGAGGGGCCTACTGAAGTGTGTCTTAATGTTATCTACTGGCAGTGCTCTGCCCATTCAAATTCTAAAGTGGAGTTTGGAGTTTGACTTGGTAGGAATGGGCAACCCATGTCTACCAGCTTTCTTCATATGGGAGGAGACTGGTAGAAACTCTGTGTTTCTTATAGTAAACCTGCCAGCGAGCAGGTTATGTTCACAGAGTCTGTTACCATGGTGATTGACTCAGAGTTTCAGTTACCTCTCTATCTGAAACGAATAACTCAGTTTCCCTGAGTTTTCACATAACCCTCTTTCTGGAATACCCCCCTGGTCTGCGATTGAGTCCTTACTGGGAGAAAGCCTAACAATGTAAATGCAACCAATGACGAAACAAGACATCTGATGATGAAAAATATCTTCCCACTGGAAGTCAACTTCAGTAGTACACTACATTACAGCTCTAGACTGTTGTACTAGGTTTTTAGGATGAAAATGAAGTAATGCCACATATTAAGTAATAACCAGGCAATAGCTTGGTATTAACTATGGGTAAATCGGGCTGATATTAGGCTGAAATTGATTTTTAGTAAACTGAGAGAGAAAGAGCCAGCAACACTTTTTTACCTAACGCGAAGAACCCAGTGGACACGGATCTTAGGGTGCGGACATTTCTTTAGCCAGAATCAAGTTCTAACCCAACAATTCTGTACTCATCACAAACAAATATAACAATGCTTGACACCCAGAGAAAAGTAGAAGAATTACGCACACAGGTGACTGAGTGACATAAGTGACTCCATCGGTGCGCCCAAACCAATTACCTCACTTGAACTTCTTTATTATCTACATTAATTGATTGAAGTAAACTACGGTTTGCTACAATTTACTTTAACTAGATTTACAATCCTTCCAAATGTAAAATATCATTGTAAACATACAGTTACCAAATCTTCAGCTGTTATGAGTGTGTAAAGCTCTTTTTATATGAAAACTAATTTATACTAATTAAGGCAAATACAAAAAGAGTAGCTAAGTGCATATAACTGCAACGACCTGCAACAATTAGTTGTCTTTGTCCGTTTGCACTGTATCAAAAGACTCCACCTGTCACGTGTGTTTGCATGTCTATGTTGCTTGGTAACGAACATATGGTGGCCGAGACGGTTTATCACAGTCTTCTCAAGGTATGGCGTGTGAACTGGTTTAGATGTGTGTGTCTCACGGTCAATGCGTGAGGCTTCAGAACCCTTAGTTATTACCTCTGTATTAGGAATTTTTTTATTATTTTATTTTATTTATTATTATTATATTAAGTTTAATATACAATGTCACCAATTTATGTGACTGTTGGAAAACAAAGTCATCTTTCTTATTTGATAATAACAAAAGTGCAATTCTTTTGCTATAGACTATGCCCTAGCCACTGAGCTGAGCGAACGCACATTAACTGCCCTCATTTATAAATTGAAGTATTTACAGGAAACGTACGTCAATCATTTCCCAACTACATTAACTGCAACTACCTTCTCACATACACTTTTTTTCCAATTTCATCTTGCATCTCACCCATCTGGTCTCATACTTGGGGAAAAAAAATGCATTTAAGGAAATAGACCCTTATGTCTCCCTCCATTTCACCATCACCTCAGGAGATAAGACGACAGACACAGTTTTCTGATCCTCCAAGGTATGAAAATAAACGATGTGCGTATGGAAGATTGGAAGGCAGGGCCCTGCATTTTGTCTCAGACTATCGGCTAAGGAAACTATATTCAGCCCTTTTCCTGAGAAACGTTTTTTTTTCCTATTCGCACCCTGCAGGCTCTTTACACCTGGCCAAGTTTAATATGGTACATAATTTAGCAATCGTTTGATAGCCATAAGGCTTTTTAAAAGAAGAAGCTATTTGCTTTAGTTTAGGGAATATACATAGCCTACAGTAGGCTACCCTTACACATATCTAATGTGCCACGCTACATACACTGGTGGGAATAATAACCTGCACCAGGCATTGTTGGCTTCTGAAACATTATGCCAAATAGCATCTGCCAAATTGATATCAATAGTACATCAGCAAAAATATGTTTCTGTCAAATTTTTGCTCATAGCTGACAAAGCAGTAACCCACAAAGCAACAGCAACCAAAAAGCTTGCTTCCACAAAACAGACCAGAATACCCGGCAAAACAGCAGATGATGGCTTTTCCATCAAGTTCAATGTGACCACAGAATTAGAAAGTATGAAAATATTCAAAACGTTTTTTTGAAAAATGTAATTCCCCTGCAACGGGGGGAGCGCGATACCTTCGTTCTTACCTTCCTCCCACCCCTGGGGGCTTCTTGCCTTCTTCTCGCTGTTTTCGTTCCTTTCCTCCCGCATGTTCTCGGCAGCCACTATGCTCCAGGTGAACTCCGGGGTACCCTGCAAATGCTGGTCACATGTTCTGGTACTGCCAGGGCACCGGGGATCTGAAAGAAACAAGAGGCATTTAAATATGGAGAAGCCCGAAATGCACACAACGATTCGACTCACAAAACAAGGCCACCTAACTAGAATGTTATTAGTCAAAATCTCATTGTGCTAAGAAAGCTGATGGCAGCAGTGTGCTTCAATAATATCAAGCAAAGATGACTGGAAATATAAAACAACAGCAATGGGTTACAGTGTTCATTTAAGTAGCGGTCAAAACTTGGGCTGGCTTTGGTAGAAGTTAGGGTTATTTATTACCACTTGTATACCCTCCCTAAAAATGTGTCAGGGTGTTTTTCTGTGTGTGTGTGTGTGTGTGTGTGTGTGTGTGTGTGTGTGTGTGTGTGTGTGTGTGTGTGTGTGTGTGTGTCCGCCCTTTCCCATCTGTCCTTCCCTCCCAGTGAACAGGGATACTCATGTATACTCAATAAATAGCTGTCTGTGGGCTTGGTCCCATGACTTCTTGTGCTAAAGGCTCTGGAGGAGAGGAACTATACGGGTCTTGTTTTAAAGAGAAAGTTGAATACACACTGACTAAGATATCATAAAAAATCATGTTAAAGCTATAAACATACAAACTTATGTGCAACAATGCAATGCTGCACTAGGCAAATATTTAGTAAAAAGATCACAAATAACATAAAAATATTGTCTTTTGCAGTTTATTTTTTGTTTGCATACTAAAAGGTTTTATTCAATTCAACAAATCTGTGCACCAGAAAAAAGACGCATGTATTGTTTCTCACAACAGCTTGACTACGACAGCTCATAAAAGACAATATGTGAAATCATCAATGCAATGAACCCCCACACCATTGAAATCCTAGAATTTCGTAGAGCTTTATCATACCACATAATAAAATACCAATTGGACATGGCAGTGTGTCTGAGGATGCTTGTTTAGGCTTCATAGGAAACATGGAAACATAATACATAACAGAAGGCCAAGAGTTCTGATTGGTGGCAACAATATAGATATAGATAAATTAAAGCGCCGAGCCGACATAGGGGAAAGAGCAGCCAGCAGCGCAGTTGTTGTGAGTCACATGACGCAGGCATAGGCCTGTGCGATAAAATGACATAACGCACACTCTCTTAAATCGCGTGCAATAATTTTTGGTGCCGCGATATTCATTTTACATATAAATGAACGTCATCAACATTTCAGTTGATCGCGCACACAGACGCAGTTCCTCAAGACTGCTCGTTCGCTTCTTTGGGCGGGAGGAACGCACGGCGTCGTCCCCAGCTGCCGCGGCGCGCCTTCCCCCTGGACACATTTTCTCGAACCCGACCGCATCGCACCAAGCCCGATGCTTCGCCCGCCCCGTGTCCCTTGCACTTATTTGTTTTATTTATATAGGATATATTTTTTTCACATTCAGATTCTAATGTCTAACTATTCTGACAAATATAACGTTCTTGGTTCTTTGAAATAGCATACCTTTAATAATATGCTATTATATTGTCATTATGTTATTAGTTCCATAAAAGGACCTGAAAATTGCAATAATATCGCATATCGCAATCAATTTTGGTGCAATTATCGCACAACAAAATTTGATATCGTGACAGCCCTACGCAGGCAAAGACGTCTGTTTGAGTAGTCGTCCAAGGTGTCCCGTTTTGAAGTGAGGAACGTAACGAGCCTCCAGCAACGCTGCTGCTGTTTACTCGTCATTCAGCTGATCCAGCTGGCGTTAGCTCGCTAATAACAACAGTAAAGCAGATAGCAGGACTGAGACACGTTTTTATTTACTCGCCTCTTTTGGACGATTCATTTTTCAATCTGTTTTGTATAGATTTCGTGCTCTGTCTCATATAGGTTATTGTAAACAAATATATTTGTGTGTGTCATACTTTTTAATGCCGTCATATACGGTAGTCCAGTGTGCAAATAATGTGGGTTGTACGGTAGTTGATGTTATGCCTGTAAAGGGAGACACACTGTGATTCAATAAATTAACTAAGAAGCCTCTAATGCATTTATTTACAAATGCCATTTTAAATTCATCTCATAGCACTCATCTCATAGCACTACTACTACTATTTACTTAACTTGGTGGTAATAATTTAATAATTTTATGGTAATAATTTAATGAATAAGCTTCAAGTGAACATGGGGGTTTGTTTGTGAGGGTGAGAGTTTGTGAGTGTAGTAAAGAGAACAAGTTAAAACAAATCCTTTTAAATTTTCTGATTTGTATTTTTTTTTTTTTTTATAAATTATTATGTTCAAGGAGCAAGAAGTATTTTTGCAATGTGAATTTGCAGTTCTGTTATACAATTAAGGGTTGGAAATTAAAGCTTTTTGACGCTGTTTTTTTTATCCGATTCATCAATTAATTGCAAGAAATAATTGACCGATTAATCGATTATCAAAATAATTGTTAGTTGCAGCCCTAGTATTTAAGTATGCCGCGTAACTTTACTACATACTTAAACAAATAACATAAAGAATATGAATACTGCATGCACCCTGCCAGGTTCCAGATGAATACTACTTCCGCCTAATCAAAGATAAAGTACAGGCACGTGGTATTCAACCAAAGTCTGCTAATTTTCCTTAATATGAACAATGTTCACAACTTTTGTTCACTTTACCAGGCATCAGTAAGACAAGTTAAACTATTTGAATCACTGATAGAAAATCAGCAGTGTACTCATATCTGTTTAGAAAATGTCCACAAAGAACCTCAAAAGACTGACTGTGAAAAAATGAAATGAGAAATTGGGTCTATCAACACCTGGGAAAACATTTTTTGTCTCCAAGAAATGAAAAGCAATTTTCCGTATTGATTTTAGAGGAAGAGCACTCACTTCAACTTGTTAAAGTTTGGAGATTTTTGTTCAGCCTATACAACCGTGACACCACACTTACAGCAAAGCCTGCTCTACCTTGGTGGTAACAGGACGGATGTTGTTCGGATAAAATACTTTATAATAGAAAACACGTATAGTGTCACACAGGGCTGCTACGGTTCAAACCACGTTTGAGTTTTTGCGTATAAACTATTACCATTACAGTCAAATATTGACTCAATATTCACCAGAAACCAACCTTTGCTGAAACCAAAGTCAATAACGCCTGTTTCTATTAAAAAAATCATCAGCAATGCACATGAAGGTCATGAATGTGTGCTGTTGATGTGCTGACTGAGCTACTACAGTATAATCATTCATATAAACATGCAAGACTGAAAAGTTTCTGTCCAATATTCCGTTATGCTAAATTTTCACTATCAAACCCCCCTCACCGTTGACAGAGGTCTCCCTAATCTAAAATATCATAATTTACAGTACTTAACATACATTCCGATATTTTTAACAAAGTCATCAGTTCATCGAGACGTAGGAACGGATTCTTAGAAATGAGCAGCTTCAGGGCTGCGTAACGCTTGAGGAGGCAGCTTCCTCCAATAGAATCGTTAAGTCCTGCCACTTAGTGCCAGCACGGGTAATGGTTTCCATGCTTAAAAGTTGTCCTTTGGCAAAAAACATTGATTCCTGCAGCTCATTGCCACTGGGCACCTTGATGGCTGAGATGTGGAGAAAAGGTTCCAAGGTTGCTGTGAAAGCTAATTTCCTTCACTTCAATAAGTCTATGTGTAGCATGGGTGGAACGGTGCAGTGTGTTTATTAGAAACAGAGCAAAGGCTTTAAAGTTTCTCTCAGCAGTACATATGCGGGACCAGGGGTTCAGCGTCCCCCCCCCCCAAGACTGTCTGGAATTTAAAAAAAAAAAGTTGCACATTTTTGTGCATGCATACCACCACAATGAAAGACATGTACAGCGCGTTAACACAGTTTAGGCAGCAAAGCGTAGTTAGTTCCATAAATATGGTACTAATCATAGTCACTAAATGGTGTCATAGACACATTTGCGTAGACACACTCACTGAAACTAACATCGACACAGGTTTTCAGAGCTGCCTCCTCACATTTCATGGCACAATTGAAATGCAGAATTGCAATTGGCCCACCGACGCGTGTGCAGCCAAATGGTGATGAGGGATGTGATTCAACTGCGGCGAGCGTCCCTTTCATCTAGTTTCGCCCCCCTGCACGTGCAAAGTGACCAAGAACTGATGTGTTACCAGGCAGGGAGGCCGCTTTTATGACCAAAACGTTCACAATCACATCTTTGATTTCTCTCTAAACTATAATGCCCTCTTTTTTTGACATCACTCTGCACGGGTTTGTTTACCTTTTTGATTAAACCATTGCTCATTTAATCAAAGCAACTCAAGGTTCTACAAAAGAGTAATGGTAGGCTTACGATATAAAGAAAAGCGATAAATTTCCCAGACTGTTTGCGATAACAGTGGATCATAAAAAAAACTTTAATTGAATGTTCATGTACTTTGCCAACAGCTTATTTGAATGTAACTTAATGTCTTAATTATTTCAACTCCTGCAAAACATTTTTAAATCTTCAAAAAAGAATCTGTATATACATTTTTAATGACCTATCTTTTGAATGTAGGCAACTTTAATGATGTAAACATGTTTACTAGAACAAATGAAATGCATTTACTAACCCTAACATGGACCTTAATGGAATAATCCTCTTTACACACAACTATTATTGACAGTGAATTTCTGAAATAGCTGCGTCATCACGCTGTGACGTTACAGGTTTAACCTAGCTAACAAGCTAATTAGCGCTAGCGCCACACGTGCTGATACCTTGAACATTGCTCTGTATTAGCTTATTCAGAAAAACACCATACACCTTTTCGCGTCACCATGGACTCATAAGAAAATCATTCCAACCGTTTCACAACATTAACATACCTGCAAATGGGGAGAAATAATCACATTTTTGTGGTGTTTCCTCAGTAGACGTGTTTACTAGAATGAGGGAAAGCCGCCAAGTCCCAGAATATGAAGGCAAAAGCAAAAGCAATCGATCCCAGTGTAGCTGATCAGGCTAGTAGATAGGACCAATGACTAATTCGTTTTGAACAAAAATAGATTAAATCAACCATGGATAACT